GGTCACATGATTGTTGTGAAGCAGACACCATCATTAGGCGCCTGACGGAAGAAAGGTTGTGCTGCAAAGAAATATTTTCCTCGATATGAGCCCCAAAGCTGTGCCCAAAACATCTTAGCTGAATTAGCTTTCCTGGTTTCATGTTTTTGTCCATTGTTTTCCCAGGACTTCAGTGGTGCGAGTCGGCCATCTGTGCCAGATGCCACGGCCACATGTACCTCACTACTCGGAGACATCCACGTGAGTGGTTACCTTCTGCAACCGTTTCGTCCAAGTTGCATGCATAGGTCACATTGATCGTTGTGAAGCAGACACCATCATTAGGCGTCTGACGGAAGAAAGGTTGTGCTGCTCATTGCTTGGAAAGAAATATTCCCCTCGATATGAGCCCCAAAGCTGTGCCCTGAACCTCTTAGCTGAATTAGCTTTCCCGGTTTCATGTTTTTGTCCATTGTTTTCCCAGGACTTCAGTGGTGCGAGTCGGCCATCTGTGCCAGATGCCACTGCCACATGTACCTCACTACTCGGAGACATCCACGTGAGTGGTTACCTTCTGCAACCGTTTCGTCCAAGTTGCATGCATAGGTCACATGATTGTTGTGAAGCAGACACCATCATTAGGCGTCTGACGAAAGGTAGGTCGTGCTGCAAAGAAATATTTTCCTCGATATGAGCCCCAAAGCTGTGCCCAAAACATCTTAGCTGAATTAGCTTTCCCGGTTTCATGTTTTTGTCCATTGTTTTCCCAGGACTTCAGTGGTGCGAGTCGGCCATCTGTGCCAGATGCCACGGCCACATGTACCTCACTACTCGGAGACATCCACGTGAGTGGTTACCTTCTGCAACCGTTTCGTCCAAGTTGCATGCATAGGTCACATGATTGTTGTGAAGCAGACACCATCATTAGGCGTCTGACGAAAGGAAGGTCGTGCTGCAAAGAAATGTTTTCCTCGATATGAGCCCCAAAGCTGTGCCCAAAACATCTTAGCTGAATTAGCTTTCCCGGTTTCATGTTTTTGTCCATTGTTTTCCCAGGACTTCAGTGGTGCGAGTCGGCCATCTGTGCCAGATGCCACGGCCACATGTACCTCACTACTCGGAGACATCCACGTGAGTGGTTACCTTCTGCAACCGTTTCGTCCAAGTTGCATGCATAGGTCACATGATTGTTGTGAAGCAGACACCATCATTAGGCGTCTGACGAAAGGAAGGTCGTGCTGCAAAGAAATATTTTCCTCGATATGAGCCCCAAAGCTGTGCCCAAAACATCTTAGCTGAATTAGCTTTCCCGGTTTCATGTTTTTGTCCATTGTTCTCCCAGGACTTCAGTGGTGCGAGTCGGCCATCTGTGCCAGATGCCACGGCCACATGTACCTCACTACTCAGAGACATCCACGTGAGTGGTTACCTTCTGCAACCGTTTCGTCCAAGTTGCATGCATAGGTCACATTGATCGTTGTGAAGCAGACACCATCATTAGGCGTCTGACGGAAGAAAGGTTGTGCTGCTCATTGCTTGGAAAGAAATATTCCCCTCGATATGAGCCCCAAAGCTGTGCCCTCAACCTCTTAGCTGAATTAGCTTTCCCGGTTTCATGTTTTTGTCCATTGTTTTCCCAGGACTTCAGTGGTGCGAGTCGGCCATCTGTGCCAGATGCCACTGCCACATGTACCTCACTACTCGGAGACATCCACGTGAGTGGTTACCTTCTGCAACCGTTTCGTCCAAGTTGCATGCATAGGTCACATGATTGTTGTGAAGCAGACACCATCATTAGGCGTCTGACGAAAGGAAGGTCGTGCTGCAAAGAAATATTTTCCTCGATATGAGCCCCAAAGCTGTGCCCAAAACATCTTAGCTGAATTAGCTTTCCCGGTTTCATGTTTTTGTCCATTGTTTTCCCAGGACTTCAGTGGTGCGAGTTGGCCATCTGTGCCAGATGCCACGGCCACATGTACCTCACTACTCGGAGACATCCACGTGAGTGGTTACCTTCTGCAACCGTTTCGTCCAAGTTGCATGCATAGGTCACATGATTGTTGTGAAGCAGACACCATCATTAGGCGTCTGACGAAAGGAAGGTCGTGCTGCAAAGAAATATTTTCCTCGATATGAGCCCCAAAGCTGTGCCCAAAACATCTTAGCTGAATTAGCTTTCCCGGTTTCATGTTTTTGTCCATTGTTTTCCCAGGACTTCAGTGGTGCGAGTCGGCCATCTGTGCCAGATGCCACGGCCACATGTACCTCACTACTCGGAGACATCCACGTGAGTGGTTACCTTCTGCAACCGTTTCGTCCAAGTTGCATGCATAGGTCACATTGATCGTTGTGAAGCAGACACCATCATTAGGCGTCTGACGGAAGAAAGGTTGTGCTGCTCATTGCTTGGAAAGAAATATTCCCCTCGATATGAGCCCCGAAGCTGTGCCCACAACCTCTTAGCTGAATTAGCTTTCCCGGTTTCATGTTTTTGTCCATTGTTTTCCCAGGACTTCAGTGGTGCGAGTCGGCCATCTGTGCCAGATGCCACGGCCACATGTACCTCACTACTCGGAGACATCCACGTGAGTGGTTACCTTCTGCAACCGTTTCGTCCAAGTTGCATGCATAGGTCACATGATTGTTGTGAAGCAGACACCATCATTAGGCGTCTGACGGAAGAAAGGTTGTGCTGCTCATTGCTTGGAAAGAAATATTCCCCTCGATATGAGCCGCAAAGCTGTCCCCACAACCTCTTAGCTAAATTAGCTTTCCCGGTTTCATGTTTTTGTCCATTGTTTTCCCAGGACTTCAGTGGTGCGAGTCGGCCATCTGTGCCAGATGCCACGGCCACATGTACCTCACTACTCGGAGACATCCACGTGAGTGGTTACCTTCAGCAACCGTTTCGTCCAAGTTGCATGCATAGGTCACATTGATCGTTGTGAAGCAGACACCATCATTAGGCGTCTGACGGAAGAAAGGTTGTGCTGCTCATTGCTTGGAAAGAAATATTCCCCTCGATATGAGCCCCAAAGCTGTGCCCACAACCTCTTAGCTGAATTAGCTTCCCGGTTTCATGTTTTTGTCCATATTTTCCCAGGACTTCAGTGGTGCGAGTCGGCCATCTGTGCCAGATGCCACGGCCACATGTACCTCACTACTCGGAGACATCCACGTGAGTGGTTACCTTCTGCAACCGTTTCGTCCAAGTTGCATGCATAGATCACATGATTGTTGTGAAGCAGACACCATCATTAGGCGTCTGACGGAAGAAAGGTTGTGCTGCAAAGAAACATTTTCCTCGATATGAGCCCCAAAGCTGTGCCCACAACCTCTTAGCTGAATTAGCTTTCCCGGTTTCATGTTTTTGTCCGTTGTTTTCCCAGGACTTCAGTGGTGCGAGTCGGCCATCTGTGCCAGATGCCACGGCCACATGTACCTCACTACTCGGAGACATCCACGTGAGTGGTTACCTTCTGCAACCGTTTCGTCCAAGTTGCATGCATAGGTCACATTGATCGTTGTGAAGCAGACGTCATTAGGCTGTCTGACAGAAGGAAGGTCGTGCTGCTCATTGCTTGGAAAGAAATATTCCCCTCGATATGAGCCCTAAAGCTGTGCCCAAAACATCTTAGCTGAATTAGCTTTCCCGGTTTCATGTTTTTGTCCATTGTTTTCCCAGGACTTCAGTGGTGCGAGTCGGCCATCTGTGCCAGATGCCACGGCCACATGCACCTCACTACTCGGAGACATCCACGTGAGTGGTTACCTTCTGCAACCGTTTCGTCCAAGTTGCATGCATAGGTCACATGATTGTTGTGAAGCAGACACCATCATTAGGCGTCTGACGGAAGAAAGGTTGTGCTGCTCATTGCTTGGAAAGAAATATTCCCCTCGATATGAGCCCCAAAGCTGTGCCCAAAACATCTTAGCTGAATTAGCTTTCCCGGTTTCATGTTTTATTCCATTGTTTTCCCAGGACTTCAGTGGTGCGAGTCGGCCATCTGTGCCAGATGCCACGGCCACATGCACCTCACTACTCGGAGACATCCACGTGAGTGGTTACCTTCTGCAACCGTTTCGTCCAAGTTGCATGCATAGGTCACATTGATCGTTGTGAAGCAGACGTCGTTAGGCTGTCTGACAGAAGGAAGGTCGTGCTGCTCATTGCCTGGAAAGAAATATTCCCCTCGATATGAGCCCCAAAGCTGTGCCCACAACCTCTTAGCTGAATTAGCTTTCCCGGTTTCATGTTTTATTCCATTGTTTTCCCAGGACATCAGTGGTGCGAGCATTTTGATGCCCACTGTACACAATAGTGCCAGTAGGGAGAAGGTGGGGGAACGCCTTGGGTGCAGTGCTGAGGGGAGTGCAGCTGGGCAGTGAAAGGGGGAAGTTGTTGCTCCCCCCTTGCCCCATTATTTCAAGCTTTGTTGCTTTAAACGAGTGGGCGGGGGTCACGGCAGGACTCTGCACCAGGTGCCGCTGACCCTAGTGACCCCACTTACTTTAAGTAGTCGAATGTAAATTAAATTCTTTTAGAGAGCAGTCTATATTTAGAATTACTTTATTTAGTTATGCATCTTTTATCCTTTTTTTTTACTCTTTAATTGTACCACTGCTTTGAATGCATCTTTTCAGGAGTACAAGGGTACCTGCACGCCGCGTGCATCTGGAACTGAAAAAGGTTCAGAACCTTGTGAGCATCATGTGGTTAGTCTATGCATAATGTATATTCTTGTTATTAGGTTTTTTACTGCGACATTTAGAATTACAGTTTTTTTTGTTTCCTTCTTTCTTTTAGGTTATGGTGGTGCCAGAAACAGTGTGTGAACCTTTGCGTACTCGAGACAGAGGAACATGGGCTTTTGTGCAGTCAGCTTCTAGGGAAACACAACCCAAAATCTTGGAACCACCTCATTTTCTTCGTACGTATGGGATATAGAGAGGTTTATATGTGAGAGGTAAAGGATTTTACTAAAAATGCTATCTTTTTCTAGCGACGGTGCCAAAGGTGCTAGTGAGTCGTGGCACACAAACTGAAATTGTGAGAACATCAACTCCTACTATAGCGCACACCTGCCCACCACTCGACAAATCAATGTCACCTGTGCCACAGACAGTGTCTTCAATCCCCTCGGCCGAGGCAGAATCCCCTCCCGAGAAAGAGCTTTTTTCCGAGGAACAGCTTTTGTCTGTGGAAGTGTCACACATCGAGAAATGGCCCCTACCCAAGGAAGAGCCTGAAGAGGGTTCCATTTTGGAAACTGAGCCAGGCTCTGAAATCCAGCTACTCCCAGAATTGGAACTTCTTCAAGAGGAGAGATCTTCGGAAGCAGAACGTACATACACAACGGACCCTTTCCCAGATGTAGAGCCTCCCTCACAAATAGAATCGGCTTCTGAGACAGGACTGTTTTCTGAGCCACCCTCTCAGGCAGATGATGGGGACATCACCTACTGTCCATCGCAGGGTGAAAGCTTTGAAAGGTATTTTGGTATTCTTGTGCAGATATTTGTTTCTAGGTTGCAGTTACTTTCTTAACAGATATTTTTGCTTAGATATGCACCTGGAGCATAGTGTCTGCGCCTGATGCCATGTACACCATATAATTGCATAGCCTATACCTGTAAATAGCCTGTACTGCATGAAAATTCAGCTTTTAAACATGTATAGCCCAGAAACTAGTCCCCAAAATATGGTGGTATACTAAAATGGTTGAGCAAATATCTAGAGTTTTTGAGAGAAGAAACATTACTGCTAAACTTGGTAGCGGCTTCTAATAGCAACACCATGTGTGCAGCTTCCACCATAAAATTCGTTTCAAGAAAGGTTATGGTGGCTTATTTAAATTGTGTTATTTGTAAATATGAAGACTGAAATATTACCACAAGCCATAAATTGCACTGCTGTAGTTGTAATCATGGTTATTAAGAAATCTGTTTTTTTTTCTGTTCGAAAACCGTCGGTAGAGATAGCAATTTGGCCCAGTTGGTTCATGATCACCTAAACGAGCGCAAAAAATGCGAGGACAAGGAGGTAGACAGACAAGAGTGCACTCGCAACTGGTTTTTATTTGTGAAAACAATTATATATATATAGCTTCGAACTAACCCCGGTAACAAGAAGGAATACTCATTCCCCTGATAAGGAAGGGAACATGTCACTTGTGCATTTTCTGCCCTTTGTCTGGATTTCGAAGGCCTCGCACAGTTCTCTAGAAACCCTATCCAGGTATCTAGTCAGGAACCTGGTGTCGCCAGATGACGGGGCACATGGGCAACGACTGCAGTGAGCAGCAAGATGCCCCGATGGAGTGGCTTTCGTTGCTGCAGTGTGTTCCCGTGCACGATCATTGAAACATCTTCCCGTCTGGCCTATATAAGATGAGCCGTATAACGTTGGAATTTCGTAGACAAGACCTGTAGTACACTCCATGTATTTTGTGCGGTGCCTGGTATCACAGGGATCTTTCGATACAGTGGGATTGTTGATCCCACGGCACAGCCCCCCCCAGCTTATTGGGTGCAGTGAACACCACAGGCACATCGTCGCGCGAGGCAACTTTCTTAAGATTACGCGTGACTGTGTGCCTGTGGTGCTCGCTGCAGCCAACAAGCTGGGGCAGCTGTGGCGTAGGATCAACAATCCCACTGTATCGAAAGATCCCTGTGATACCAGGCACCACACAAAATACACGGAGTGTACTACGGGTCTTGTCTACGAAATTTCAACGTCATGCAGCTCGTTTTATATAGGCCAGACGGGAAGGTGTTTCAATGATCGTACATGGGGACACGCTGCGGCGACAAAAGCCACTCCATCGGGACATCTTGCCACTCACTGCAGTCATTGCCCATGTGCCCAGTCAATTGGCAACACCAGGCTTCTGGCTAGATACCCGGAGAGGGTTTCTAGAGAACTGCGCGAGGCCTTCGAAATCCAGGCAAAGGGCAAAAAATGCATAAGCGACACGTCCCTTCCCTTATCGAGGAATGAGTATTCCTTCTTGTTACGGGGGTTAAACAAATCTTAGAAAATAGTATGTGTTAGTTCGAAGCTATATATATGATTGTTTTCACAAATAAAAACCAGTTGCGAGTGTGCTCTTGTCTGTTTACTTTCTTGCCCTTGCTTTTTTGCGCTTCTTTAGGTGACCGTCGGTAGAGATTGACTGTTCACCTCCTTACTAGCAAGGTCACATACAGGTACGACGTGAATAATAATTTTTTTTACAAGTTTTAAGACATCTAGAATGCCACATTCTTTGTTTTGATGAACAGGATAACTGAAGTTCCCATTTTTACAGTTACTGAAACAGTAAAAACACTGATTTAAAGAAACATTGTGTATTGAAATGCAGAGTGACCTCCCATGCTCACAGCCTGTACAGAGAGACATTGGGAAGAACCTCGCTGGTTCTATGCTTTTCGTTTTGACTTTTTTTTTCTTGCCAACATATGTGTGACCCTGAAATAAACGAGTGCTTTCACACACTGTAATCTAGCTTTTTCTTTAGGCAAAGAACAACTAATTTTTGGGATGCCAGTGTCCCTTTTAACTAACTGCAGTCGACTCTCATTATTTCAAACTCCAAGAAATTGCAAGCTTTAGCTTGATTTATCAAAAATTCATCTAAAAATACGTGAGGCAATGTAACAATTTGCTATACACACAGACAACACTGGCGAAGTTCGATACGACTAGTAGTTTTGGCAGAATATTTTGCAGTCGACTATCGAATAGTTTCTCCAAGCCTTTTATTACCGTTGTACCATGCTTAAACGAAAATTCAGCTGAATTTGTGAAGGTTGTTTCTGACCATCCACAGCTAAGCTCTGTTAGTTTTAATATAACAATGTGTATGAACTGTGACCTCAGAAGGTTCAATGCCTACTTGGGGTGGCAGGTAAATGACAGACTTGACATAAAATTAAACCTAAAGGGACTCCCAGCTATTCTATTCGAGGGAATATATAAATGTGCTCGCTATATGCAAACATTCTTTCTTTAATCTCGAATTTAACGCCATCAGAAAAATGAAAAAAAAAACAAGCACAAATAATGAAAGCAGATTGTCAGGACAGTATACTGCTTGCATAATCAAGGTGGGTTAGCCCCATTGAGCACGCTTCTCACCGAGCACCCGCATACTGTAGAAAAGCAATGCCCGCGAGCTTTGCGGGTATTGCCTTACTCCAGTATGGGGGTGCTCGATGAGGTGCGCACTCATTGGGGCCAACCCGCTGCGACATAGAAATAGTAAAAATTAAGCAAAAACACTGCTTGAATTCAACAGCTTATAAATGCATTAAAACCATAGTGGGGCACCTAAAATTTTAATATATTGAATTAATCCGAAGTTTGAATTATCCGAGTTAGAATTATAAAGAGTCCACTATAGTGTCCCAGGCAGCACCGAGTTCTGGGCCAAAACTTGGCTTGCGTCTGGCAGTTTAGGGCATTAAAAAGCCCGAAGAAGCCAAAGTAGTGCCAAACCTGACCTCCCTTGGCAACAGTCTGGGTATCTTGGCCCTAATTCGCCAAACAAGTGCCAAACTTAAGGCCCGTTCACACACGTCGGTTGCATGCAGCTGCGTCCACAGCGACCGCTGCAACCGGTACGACTTTTGCAACCAGTGCGTGCTGCGTGTACACACACATGAAACCGACTCATGCCGCTCGCCGTGAACAGCCAATAGAAAACCTGCCACAGCTTTTGCCCTCAGCCAATAGCAATAAACCAAGTCTTCCTTGCTAAAATGGCGGACGGTGGCATGGACGCGCGCTCGTCGGGTACCTCACCGCCGTCGGCTCTTCCGCTGCACGAGCTTCTGCTTTGCGTGTTTTTGGAGTGCGTGCGCAGGTACATTGCCCGCGCGGGCAGGGGGACAAATTGGGCTTTGGTGGCGCGGTCGACGGCTGCAGCGCAACTGCTGCTCAGCCAAACAACGCGTCCTCCTCGGGAATGGGTTCGGTTCCTGTTGCGATCGCGGGAGACCTTCGGTGAGTTTCACCATCTGGTCCGTGACCTGCGTCTCGACGACGGACGCGATTTCTTCGCATACTTCCGGATGACACGCCAGAGGTACGTACATACCTCAGTTTTTACCCGATTACCTCTCTGCGGCGTCGCGGCTGTCCTCAGCCGTAATAAATATTTTATTGTTATATTAATATTATTGAGCGATAAGCAATGTCTTCAAAGACCCGTCGATTACCAAACTCGAGATTGCCGCCGGAATGGACCATTTTCGGTATTCCTGGTTTCAGCGCTTCGACATGAAAATATGTTCGCGATCTACGAACTCGCGAGCGATCATGGCAGGTTTTTAAAGAAGCGGCCCATGTCGGCGCTCGTGTTGTGCACAGACGTGCATCACCAAGACCTCTAGAACCGGCAACTTCCGAAATATGTTAATTTAAATCAATATTAGTTCTGCGGAGCCGTGTTCCGAATTAACAAAGTGACCTTGTAGATTTGGAGAACACAGTTGTGATGACTTAATTTGCTAGCACCCAACCAGTGATTTCATCGTAAAGTAGGACGTAAAGATGCAAATATTAGCATAATTAACGAGGTTGACTGTAAAATGAGCTGGCAAAATCGGCGCATATGCTCTTGGAGGTTTTGCTTCAACGTAAAAATTTAAAGGCGTAGGTGTTGATTTTGTAAACTGTATCATCTGCAGATTTGACCACCTGCTCTCCCTGGTTGGGCCTCTTCTACAGAAGCAGCTGACCTCTTGGCGAAAGCCGATTCCCCCGGCTGAAAGGTTGTCGTTGACAATCCGGTAATTTGAGTGATTTTATGACTACTATGAACGCAACATTAAACTTCACCTTTGAGAGCTTCCTTGATTAACAAAAAAGAAAATAGCTAATAGTCTTGCATTCCTTCAGCCACTGTCAGTTCATTTGTGTGAACATACTTACTAAAAGAAGTGTCCTATTAGTTCAACATAGTACATACCATAGAATACCGTGCATCTGCCCATTCCACATTCTCTCGCAATTATTTCTATATTTTAAGTGGGTGCTTGCCCGGTATTTTACGGTACTTTTCTGCTTCACTCACAGCCAAAAATCAGACATTTTTTTAGTCATCTCTTTTCGTCGGTAGAGATCTTGTAATAAAAATAAGGTATTTGAACGAGCTCTGCCACAGGGTGGTAGTGTCTTGGCGCCATGTTCGTGGTCGCCAGGCAGCTCGGTGGACGTGCATTGTTGTGTTGAACTGGCCGGATATTGAGTCAATCAGTGCCACCAAACTCAGATTATTAATTTATTAACCAGCGTATGTCTGTACGGGAATTATGTTTTTTGTGGCCATTCATTTTATTTTGTGTCTCAATATGGGAACGCACATTGCGAGCCAGAATATTCAACTGCGTCGTGTTTGAATCCAACAAACGCACAAAATGGATGCCCGTTGATCAAAATGTTGCTTAAGTTAGGTATTTCTTGATACTGAAAGTTATCATAATAC